CCCACCTACAGTCCCGGCCTGTACGAGACTCGAACCCCCAACCTTTGGGTTACGAGTCCAACTCTCTAACCATTAGGCCACGACTTCCCCAAAGACATCTTGTGCTGCGCATCCACAGCAGGTATATGTAAGTGTGAGAAATTAATCAGCAAGAGCTTTAGGTCCAATCAAACCAAACCTGATCTGATTGGAAAATTAGGCTACATCCCCAACCAGAGATGCACAATGCTAATATTTCCAAACCTTTCATCACAAACACAGAGGACACAGATGTAGCACTGACAGTTTCAGCTGTTACCGTGCACAAGCTTTAAAATATAAAGCCTTTGTTATGAATAAATATTCTCAGTGTTGTTTGCATAAACAATGTGTTCAACGTTGCAGGGAACAGTGCATATTTGTGGGACCATTCAAGCCTGTGTGACGTTACCATAAACAACAGCCTCAACGTATAGTAATAACGTCCAAGTGGAAACACTGACTTGGAAACTTACCCTCGCATAAATGGAAATGTTTTTTTTTTACAATGTAGCCTAAATAATTTAAACAACCGTTTCACTGGGGGCTACGTACTACTCAAAAACTGCCTATAACGTTTAACTAAAAAAAACGTACATTTTGATTCAATTCAGTGTGACTATTCAGCAAACATTTTCAGTTGTGCTCTGAACTGTTAGTTGTTGTTATTTTTGGAAACCGTAACTCATTTCCTTTATAGGTCATAATTAGAAGTTTCATTTTCAGCTATGAAAACATGTCTTTCTTGCACAGATAATGGAAGAAAAAGTCTCTAGAACGGGCCACATTTAGTCCATGTTGTATTGGGAACTTCTCCCAGACCGTCACTACAGGAGTCATGGCAAGAATAAACCAAACATTCTCTCTCTGGCATAGTAAATGAGAAGCCGCTGATGCTGCTCTAAGTTGCCCTCCTCTGTTTTACTCTCACAGGCTTTATGTAACCACCTCAGTGACTTCAAACTCAAGGCTCTACAGGAGAGGAAGGGGATCTTGAACTCCCCGTAGAAACAGGGCGCCTGCAAGCATTCCACAGGAAGGAAGTAGGGACAAGCAATGAGACGCCAGCACAGCTCTGCACCTTCAAGCAAATAAAACCGCATAAAAGGTATTCCACATCCACTTGATCACAGACTTCCAACAACTGTGATCACACATGAAGTTAAAAAGCTGATTTCCTTTAAAATGACTCTTCAGTCAATCACATGCCGGTTCATGCACAGCTCTCTTCCTGAACATCATGGGTATTCTCTCCATTTCTGTACCATGACGACTTTACTAAAAATGACATCAAAGTCTTCAACATTTTTCAGGCAAGTTCAGGCGAGTCAGTCATAGGCAACTTTGCAGAATTTATGTATAGCCCACTCCTCAAAGAGTAGCTTCAGGAATTTGACTATAAATTCTACTGAAAGTGGCTGCATTTCAGATGTTTTGGCTTATGATTTAATACTTGCAGAAATAATACACCTTTCCACAACAAATTATGTTACATTGAAAACTGCACAATTCAGATGCAACTTTGAGGTGTTTAAAACAAAAACAAAAACAAAAAAACAAGAGACATTATTTTGGGAGAGATAGAAGGCAATCTCTGTATACTATAAAAAAAAAACATTTCAATGCAGCACAAACATAAAACTGAGAAAATGCACGTGAACTCAAGTCGGAAAGGTCTAATAATACAAATCCAACACATCTTTGTAGTAACAAGCGTGTCCAAGTTGTTTTCACATTCTGACTTAAAAGCACAACTTGGGAAATGAGAGCATCGAGGAGCGCGTGAATGCAGTAATTACACTTGCTCTGATGGCAGCAGGTAGCCTTCTGTTAACTAAGCTAAACATGCTTAAATTAAAACGCCTAAAGCTAAACCTCCCTTGTATTCACATTTCTAAACCTGTTGTCCAACAAAAGAGAACATTATAACCTTTTTACTCCACAACACCAGTCAAATGCTTCCTTTTGTGACCTGATGAGGCTTCTTGTCACAGAATGAGGCAGAAAATATGTTCCATACGCTACTTTAAAAAGAATACATCGATTAGCAATAAATTAGGGTGACCATACGTCCTCTTTCCCCGGACATGTCCTCTTTTTGGACCTACAAAAATGCATCCGGCCGGGATTTCTTAATTGCCCAAAATGTCCGGGATTCGGCCATTTTCTTAATCCCACTCCCGCTGAATCTCTGATCTCTTTCATCTTCATTTGACCCTCTAACTCTAGCACTCTCTATTCTAATGCTACTTCTAATTTTATCTGCTTGTTTTTTTTAATTAAAAAACTTGACCCTCTAACATTTGCACTCTCTATTCTATTTCTATTCTAATGGCCAATCCATCATTTTTGGGGGATTTTTTTTTTATTTATTTTTTAATAAGTATTGGTTCATGCACCGTTTAGGCACCGGAACCGTTTTAAAAGTATCAATTTGGCACCGGTATCGAAAAAAAAAAAAAACGATACCCAACCCTACATAAAACTGTGATATATTTGCATAAAACGAACTGGCTTCAACATATTCTACATGTACCAGGAAACGCTCTCAGAATTTGTTCTGACAAGGTTCTCTCAAATTTCTGAACAGATGTTCTTCCCATACATTAACACAATGCATGTTAAAAATTCTCAATAATGTTCTCACAACAGTACCACAAAAACATTATTTATGCATTGTTCATGGAATGTTTTTTCCTGAAATATTTTATTTGGATGATCGTCTAATGTTTTCAAATGCTACTACGTGTTTCAATTTGTTCAGAGAACATTTAAAAGTAACGTTTCCATAATATTTGCAAAATTATGAAATGAAATATAACCATATTCTTAGCAAAACCAAGACATTTTGAACATTCAGAGAACATAATGGGAACTTAATGGAAATGTTACCAAAACATCCTTTTTCGTAAGCTGGGCACTGGTTACATCACACTATTAAATTTGTAACATGTAAAAACTACATCATTTATTCTTCCAGACCATAAAGTTGCAAACTGACCAAGACTGTAAAATAAACACTGTTGAATTGGTGTGCATCCAGTTAAAAATCAAACTAGGTTGAAAGTTATGTAATCTATCAAAGCATGCATGACACCTGCACGTTATCCATAATAGGTATGGATCCAGAGCATGATCCATATCCATATCAATATCCAAAGCATGATCGTTTCATATGATATGACATAAAATGGACTTACACAACCCATATTCCAGTGATGGTGAGAGCTGGGAGGCTGACGGGTAATATCATCCACAGAGACATCTCCTGCACACGATCCTCTACTGCTCCCTTCAAAAAATCCACTTCTTTCGCCTTCGCCAGCCTGTCTCCCTCTGCTCATCAATGTGCATTTATACTTGTTGCATGACCCCAAACTGGCTTATCTTAAAGATCATATCTGCAAAACAAAATAAATCTTCTTTACAATGACAAAAACATGATAAACAGTTCCCTAAGACTGTTACCTGGCATTTTGCATGTATGATATTGTAATGCACAATGCATACCTGTTTGCCAAGCTTTGAAATTTGCATTATTCTACACACATTTTTACACTTTTGTTTATTTTGTAAACATTCTTAACTCGTAGTTGATATCTGTTATTCTGTCTATGCTCTTCTCTGGACCTGTAGAAACAACAGAGCATTTCGTTGCCTGCAATTACTGCTGCATGCATAGCTGGTGTGCATTTGAATGAATAAACTTGACTATAATTGAAAAATGAGTCGCTTATAAATGTATAAATACATCGCATGTATAAATACATCCTTTTGGTAACAAGGCAAAATGGACGATTGAAGTTAGTTTAACCTAATTGTAACATCCGTGTGTGTAGTGTATGTGTGGACACTGTCTCTCACCTTCCCCCCTGTGATAGGGGACAGCAGACGCCTCTCCCACCTTTGTTAAACTCGCAGACAGAGCGCAGACTGTTCAGAAACGGACCGCATCAATCACCAGTGACCGCTACAGGTTTATCGTTATTCCTCAAGCGTCCAAATGACAGCGGCTGTGTAAAGTTCCTTCGCTCTCGGTGTTTTTCTGTCTCGTGTCCCGCCGTGTGGACTGAAGGCGCACTGTTTAAAACAGTCCAGCTGTTCGCACAGCTCCGCCTCCCGACACAACCCTAACACACACTGCAACATCCTGATACACTGTACTAAATGTTTGTCATTTGAAGTGAAACACGATGTGTTTACGTACTGTACGTTATCCTACACGGAAACTAGATATAGATACAATACATGTAAAAGAGATAAAAAGCATTTAATTTACAGTAAACATCTATATTACATTCAGCATGTGTTTGAGTTTAGTTATATGTAGGCCTGTATTCAGTGTTGGGGAGTAACTAGTTACATGTAACGACGTTACGTAATTAAATTACAAAAATAAATGTAACTGTAATCAGTTACAGTTACAAAAATGTTTAATTAAATTACAGTTACTTATGAAAATGTTAATGATTACAATTTTCACACACACACACACACACACAGATTTAACTGATTTCTTTCCCAAATTGCATTGACTGCTCTAAAATATGAAATAATGTTTCAGGCGTTTAGACACAGAATAGGACACCTGCTTATTCAATAACTGTTTTATTTCCTATTTTGGTTTATGTATATACTTTATTTTTAGGATGAACTGTTTTTACCAAGGCATTGTTAGATGCCAGTGTTTCCTATCATAGCTATGCAAAGATTTGATTTCTAAAACAGTTTCATAGCTATTAATCTATTTCTTGTTATAATTTTAAATCTGCATTTAACCTCAGAATGATCTCAAAGTAAAAAGAGGTGCTAAAATCTGCCTTTGTGGTGAATGTCATTGTATATACGTTTATATACTCTAAATATTATATAGGCTATTATAGATATTATCATTCTAATTTCAAATTTTAATCATGGTTTATAAAAAGCCTAAATTAATAACATTACAAATACTTTAGTTGTTGAAGTAGCCTAATTCATATAATTTAAAAAAATAAAATATGTACCATTAGTCTTTGTTTGATGGAGAAGCCATTGTACATTATGTGAGATGGGTAGCTAGAAGTGATAATTTGATGCAGTGTCATGACGTACTTGCTGAGTATTATCTAATTAAGTTACTGATATTTGATTTGGCAGTTCTTAATTATCGTCTTTGATAATACACGTCCCCAACACTTTCAGCCATCTTCAAATGTTATTCATGTTACTTAATGTTAACTAAAATTCAACTTTACACGCAAATTGTTATGCTAATAATATAATTTGTATTACTGTTTTTACCAAGGCATTGTTAGATGCCAGTGTTTCCTATCATAGCTATGCAAAGATTTGATTTCTAAAACAGTTTCATAGCTATTAATCTATTTCTTGTTATAATTTTAAATCTGTATTTAACCTCAGAATGATCTCAAAGTAAAAAGAGGTGCTAAAATCTGCCTTTGTGGTGAATGTCATTGTATATACGTTTATATACTCTAAATATTATATAGGCTATTATAGATATTATCATTCTAATTTCAAATTTTAATCATGGTTTATAAAAAGCCTAAATTAATAACATTACAAATACTTTAGTTGTTGAAGTAGCCTAATTCATATAATTTAAAAAAATAAAATATGTACCATTAGTCTTTGTTTGATGGAGAAGCCATTGTACATTATGTGAGATGGGTAGCTAGAAGTGATAATTTGATGCAGTGTCATGACGTACTTGCTGAGTATTATCTAATTAAGTTACTGATATTTGATTTGGCAGTTCTTAATTATCGTCTTTGATAATACACGTCCCCAACACTTTCAGCCATCTTCAAATGTTATTCATGTTACTTAATGTTAACTAAAATTCAACTTTACACGCAAATTGTTATGCTAATAATATAATTTGTATTAATAATTTAAAAAAATAAAATCATTAAGAGGATAGGAAAAAATGAAAAAAAAAAAAAAACTTTGACTTAGTCTTGAATCATGAACAATTGCTTGTCATCTTGTAATCTTCAAGTTAGAATCTCTGCTTATTTTCCTTTCAAACTTATTCAACACCAGTTAAGTTTCTGTTTAGATGAACTATGTTGACCTGACTGGCTAATGTCTTGAAAAACTTTGCAATGAGTGCAATGCTTTTTTTTAGGCCTCAGACATCATTGCATCAAAAGTTGAGCTAACTCTGAAGTAAACCATTGCAAGTGACAGAATAAGTTAGCTAAACAATCTTGTTGAATGAGCATATGATTATCATTATAACACGTATGTCTTGTCTATGAAAAGCTGCTATGTATTTAATAAAGTGGTTGTACATCCAGATGTTTTGTTCTGCTAGACAAGATATACAATGCATGATCTAAACACTTACATTAGGTTTTAGTACTGATAGTTCCCCTCTGATTAGATGTGCTACTGGTGTTGTAATGTTCAATGCATTACTCATCTTGTCTAAAAAGCACTTTTTATCAGACAAGCATCAGAGCTGACACTGTTATCCTGCTGCAGGGATGGTCAGATTTTCAGAATAGCTGTTACCAAACGTATTCTGTCCACAGAATAGCCTACTATGAAAACAATACTCAACAATAAATATGGTCTTTAATTAAATAGTTTCTATTTCTACTAATTGCCATAGCAACAACCAATCTGAAGAAAACACGATTTCACAGCTGTACTATTGCTGAGACGGTACCTCAATCCACTTCCGCATAACAGCAAGCCTAATCAGTGTTTACATTGCTGCGTGTTTCTTCACCATCTTTTCTTTGTTCTTTTTGATGTTCTGACGTAACCAGCTGACGCTATGTGCAAATGATGAAAATAATATTCCTGGATAAGAACGTGGTCAGAAGAATGAGTGATGTATGAGTCATAAAAACAGGCTTGTGAATGTAGATATTGATTGTGAAAAGTTTGTTTCATTTGACCATATAAATATTTTTAAGCCTGGCAATGATGACTTAGTCATATCGATTATTGTAATACATTTTAAAATGTGTTAATGTGTCAAATAAAACACAATACAAAACACAAAACACAAGAATTGCTTATTAAGAAAAAAAAGTCTGACAAATCTCACTTTAAAAAAGTTTGGAATGTCTCCATCTAGTGGATGTGTTTTGAATAAAAAAAATAAGGACATTACAAAGAGTCATGCATTTTTACTTGTTTAGAATCCTTTCAGATATGTCATGAAATACAGTATTTTCTCCGTGTATTAAAATACAAATATACAGTATTGTCTTATATTGTAACTTGTAATGGAATCACCATAGCAACACAGCATACAACAAGATTCACATTAAACATGTTTCTTCATTTGTCATATATAATAATCTTTATATCTAGAATTCTTAGTTTTCTGTGTAACATAGCAGAACACAAAATATACCCAGTCTCTGTGTTTCTCATGGGGTTCAGAGTGCTGCAAGCATTTTGAACAAAGAAATAACTAAATAAATCAATCAATAAGCTAATTTATGCATTACACATAAAAAATGTTTTTTTTTAAGGATCGCCCACTGCTGATAGTGAAAACTGATGTTTATATAGCCACTGATATATAGGCCTATACATCAGAATGACTGTCAGTGATTCATATTTGAAATGCCCAGGGAAAGAAAGTAGCTCACTTCCTGTTCTCACTGAATTGACTATGATAAATAAGATACAATGCATATGGGAGAACCACATTCTGATGAACACTTTACTCTATAATTACAGCCGTACTGTACTCCTATATCCCCAGACTCCAAGGCCAGGGTACAGAGGCTCAGTGAATTTAGCTTGAACCTTGTGCAATAGCTTCATGGTGTCAGACACACTGTAAAACGCCACTGTTCCAGCCTCGTAATCTACATACACCCCTATCCTGGAGGAATTGGGGACAGGTATAGTTGTGCTTTTGCTGTTATGTACAAAAGAGTACTTGGATTCAGAGCAGTACAAACTCCAAGACTTGTCATTCCCCCCAAAGCTGCCAGCGTTGTCATTTCCTTTCCTCTGAATCCCCCTGTAAGTCACAGCGATGTCTATTTCTGTGCCACTCCACTCCACTTCCCAGTAGTAGCGACCGCCGGCCAGACCCTCCTTACACAGCACCTGCTGCCAGTATTCGAAGCGATCGGGATGCTCCGGGTACGACTTTGGCTCGTTGCTCATCCGCACAACTGTGTTTCTGTCTGACAGGTGCAGGTTTGGATGAGCTGTTGAAGGATCCATTGAGAGCTGACAGGAATCTAGTTCGAGAAGGGGTGTTGTTATGTTAATCAGCATAAACAAATGTGTTTATGTAGCACATTGTCTTATTATTGATTATACTGATTTTAAACTTACATTCTAAAAACTCCTCCCTTTTTGCAGGGTCCAGAGTCTGGAGAATTTTAACCTCCTTCACTGCAAATTAAAAGCATGTATGGGTAAATATATTACATAATATATACATATATACACTACCGTTCAAGAGTTTGGGGTCAGTAAGATTTATTTAAAAAATAAATTAATACTTTTATCTTTTTAAAAAAGACAGTAAAGAGGGTAAAGATTTTACAAACATTTATATTCCAAATAAATGCAGTCCTTTTGAATTTCTTATTGTTCAAATAATAATAATAAAAACACTATAGCATGGTTTCTACAAAATACCATGGCAAATCAGCATATTAGAATGATTTCTGAAGGATCATGTGACACTGAAGACTGCTTAAAATTCAGCTTTGACATTACAGGAATAAATTACATTTCAAAATATATTAAAATAGAAAACAGTTTATTTATAAATTTGTAATAGAGAGTTTCAAACACCTGCAGATGAGATTTTGTTCAGTTCTTCTTTGCTTATGTCTTCTAATTGCACTTTCAGGTCAAAGATGGCTTTCTTTGCATTGTCAAAAGTGTGATGAGGGGCTAATGTCACCTTGGACAAGTCTTCATATCCAGAAGGAGCAGAAAGAGACTGCCAGCTCTAGGAGAAAATAAGCAGATATGTTATTTAAGGAACTGTTTAGTGAAAATGCAAATGCATTGTGGGCCACAGTGCTTTTCAACAATACCTGTAAGAAATGAATATGATCGTCGGATTGGGACAGCTGCTCCAGGTCATTATGCTTCTTTCTCAGTAATGTAATCTCCTCCTCCAGCCTGGCCAGGTGTCCCTCTGCACGTGTCAGCAGAAGGGTTTCCTGGGCTCGGATCATCTCCTTCACTTCTCCGTGCCTCCTCTCTAGTGCCCGCAGCAGTTCCGCAAAAATACGCTCATTTTCATCTAGTACACTCTGAGATGAATGCTAGAATGAGAAAAACACCATGGATGAGACAGGGACTGTTTTTCACTTCTTTTTTTTTTACCAGTCAAATGTTTCCTCACATTTAAGACATGGAACAGATGAAACAGCAGAAGAACCTTTTGGGAATCTATAGTGAACAGTTCTTAAAAGAGCCATATATTTTAATCATCTAAAGAACCTTTTTCCATGATAAAGAACCTTTTGTAGAATGGAAAGGTTCCATGGATGTTACAGGTGCCATATGGAATCACTGATGCCAATAAAGATCCTTTATTTTTAAGAACACTGTACAATAAAGTTCAACTAACATTAGTTAAAGGGGTCATATGATGCGATTTCAATTTTTTCTTTCTCTTTGGAGTGTTACAAGCTCTTGGTGCATAAAGAAGATCTGTAAAGTTGCAAAGACTAAAGTCTCAAATCCAAAGAGATATTTTTTATAAAAGTTAAGAGTCAGCCACACCTACCTAAAACGGCTCGTTCTAACACGCCCCCAAATACCTACGTCATGATGTGGGAAGATCTGCATAACGCCGCCCAAATGCTCACGCAAAGAGAAGGCGTAACTTTTATTCATGAAGGCGCTGTGTTTCGTTGTGAAAGCGAAACTACTTTGTTTGGTCTTCCAAAAGAGGACGATATC